TGCAAAGTGGCTGCAAATGTCAAGGCCTTTCAGATTGGCGACTGGAATCTGCAGCACACCACAATGTACGGACGTGACGCAACCAGTGTCGTGACCATGGAGGTTTATGAAAAGGCGTCGGAACAGACTTTCCCCAACAATCTCGAGTGGGTGGCGGCCAATAAAAGCTGCTTGCCGCAGAAGAACCCAGTCTACGGAGGCAAGGACGTCACTGGAGCACCGATGTATGTCTGTCAGTTTAAGAATCAATCGACGCACTTTATTGGATGGGTAAATCATGCTGGCGCCTTTTATTCATTGCTATAATAAGTTTATTTTCTTCTAGGTTTCTCCAAAGGACGGTGTTTGCACTTCCGCCGATCACGACGACTACCAGCACTCGGACAGTTATGATGTGCTGATTAATCCCCGTCTGCTGAAGGTCGAGTGGGTTAAGCCGGGCAACTACAACTACAACTTTGTGCCACCAAATGCGGTCCGCGCTGTAGCCGATGCGCAGCAGTACATTGGCCGTGTGCAGAAACGCTTTGAAGAGGTGCACGTCATTGGAAAAATTTTTCCCGAGCCTGCTCGACGGTACCTAGAAGATCTCGACTACTTCACGGCCGTCAAAGGATCACTGGAGTTTCTCACTGTTCAAAAAATTTGAGCGAAACCCCATTTTATCTTTTATCTTTTTATCTGCAAGTGTAGATCTGATGGCTTAAAAATGGATAGATTGCAAATAAAAAGCATTAATTTTAATTTTAAATATTGGCTGTCGGTCCCTGTTTTGCAGCACAGCTGAGGGAACAGAGGCGAAGCACAATGAAGTGTGCAAAGAGAGAAAGAAGGCCCTAGTTGCTCTTGCCGCGACCACTAGTGGCTGAAACGGCATCAGACTTGCGCTTGCTCCAGGCCGCTTCAGATGTCTGCTTCATCTGGCGACTGGCCTGTTGCTGTCCACCAGTTGTCTGCCCTGGTCGATAGTTGGAGGCGCCCACTCGATTGCCGCTGCCATTGACATTGCCACCACGACTGATGTTGGACATTTGCGGGAGAAGTCCTGACTGCTGCTGTTGCAGTTGCTGTGGTTGCTGCTGCTGCTGCTGAAAGAACATTTGCTGTTGCATTGAAGAGAAGAGCAAACTAGGCGAGAAACGGCTGACTAGAAGGCCCAGTGCCTGGTCAATGTCGGGATTGGCCTCAAGGTAGGCTACAGCAGCGGGCACAAGACTTTGCAGAGTGAGCAAAGTCTGATTGAGAGACGGATCCAGGGGAGCCTGAGGCGNAAAACGGCTGACTAGAAGGCCCAGTGCCTGGTCAATGTCGGGATTGGCCTCAAGGTAGGCCACAGCAGCGGGCACAAGACTTTGCAGAGTGAGCAAAGTCTGATTGAGAGACGGATCCAGGGGAGCCTGAGGCGGCACGAACTGCTGCTGCTGCTGCTGCTGCTGCTGCTGAACACCACCACCATCAAAAGCCGTCTGACTGGCGCGGTAGTACGAGCGAGACGGTCCTCCTGCCTGAGGCTTCTTGCCGCCATTGTTCGCCCACTTCTGGTACGATTGCACGCCCAGCGGTGGCAAACTACCATTGCCGTTGCCACCATTTCCATTGCCACCGGTGAATGCTCCCGCAAAGACCGACTGTCGCTTGGCAACAAAGGAGCTAGGGCGGCGCAGAGAGGGAATTCGCATTGGCTGTGGAGGACCAGAGTTGGTGGCCTGCAGCCGAGAGGAAAGCTGGCGGTGGTGGTGCAAGTTGCGACGAGCAGCGCCCGACTCAGGCGGGGGACCAGGAGTCAGCTGACGACTGTCATCACTCTCGGTCTCGGTCACCGCTTTGCTGCCCTTGCCTGGCTTTCCTTTGCTGCTGCCGCCGCCACCGCTCTTTGCTTTTGCCTGCTGTTTGCCGAAGTTGCCGCTGCCTCCTCCACCTCCACCTCCTCCTCGTCCTCCACTTTTTGCACGTCCTTGGGCTTCCACGGTTTTAGCTGCACCTACGGAAGAAGTGTTGCCAGCACTGTCAGAGGTGTTGCTCTTTTTCGGTGAACCCTTTTTCTGCAAAGTGGGAGTGCCGCTGTTTTGCATGCTGCTTTTCTTTGTTGGCGTCTGTTCTTTCTTGAAAATGCGTGTACTTTTGAAGGGTGGACGAGTGATATCTCTACCAGAGGATGGCATCTAGCGTAATGCAGTAATCAAAAATGTTGAATGACTGAGCACTAAAGTAGAATGCCGTTTTTGTACATCAAATCTAGAACTTTTTTACTTTGTAATTTAAAATTCTTGTTTCAGTTCAAAAAAAATCAGCTCATCCTTAAAAATGTCGTTATTAGCGCCATTGAATTTTTATACTCAAAAAAAGGTTTAATGAAAATGAACATTTTTATTAGGTGGAGCGGGTGAGGAAGAGACTTGTAATGAAACCAAAGGCAGGTTAATAATTTTGAGTTTAAAGAATTCGAACACTTTTGTTGTTGCAACAAGAGATGAAAAACGGAGTGTGTGAGTTCACTAGCGCTGCAAAAAAAATAAAAATAAATGTGAAAACAGAAATATATCCGATAAGTAAAGTTTGGATAGAGAGATAGAGTAAAATAAAAAGAAAACGACCAAACTAAAAATGAGGAAAAAAGAAACAAATTTGCAAGTTTGGAAAATTTAACAACGATTGCTGCGTGTGTGTAAGTGTCTGCTTTTGTTTGTGTGGTCTGTTCGAAAAAAGAGAAAAAAGTTGTAAAAGAGATAAAGAAACAAAAAGAAATGAAAATTCCTGAATGATTGCGAAGTGCGCGAACAGGTGGCAATGCAGCAGCACACTGACAGCAGACTTTGGTCATCAGCAATCGAGAACTGCCAGAAAGTTTAGGCAATGAAAGGAGAGCAATGACAGTGTTGGCTGCAGAGTGAGTGCATGCTTTGAACGCTCGATTTGAAGGTAGTGAAATAAATTTGTGTTGGTGTTTGTGTGTGTCCGTTGAACCAAACCAAAGCAAAACAAAGCCATCAACCAGAAACAGTGCTCATGATCACCAGCAGTTCAATTCATAATGTTTTAGCAAGCTGATAATTTGCAGATGTTTGCTGGCTGTACTTTGTTTTTCCGCTGTTTCTGTGGTTAGAAAAAAGTGTGTGTTTGTGTCAGAAAAAGAATATATAAAGAAAGATAAGAATAAGAAAAAACAACAAATTGGTAGAGAAAGAAGAATATAAATTAACAGTGTTATGGGTGAGAGAAAAGGAGGAAATTGAGGTATTCAAAGTGTTTTAAATTCATTTCGTAAATGAACGCAAGAGAGAAAGTAATGATAATAAAAATAACGGTCGGCATCGGATGGTGGGCGGCCATGGTAAAAGCTGACACTGAGAAAGTGAATAATGAGTAGTGAAAAGTGATGCAAAGATGAAATGGTGGTAGCATTGAGATGGCCAGTGTTTGCCGGTGGTGATAGTGCTGATGATGATAATGAAGATGCGATGGGCATGTGTGTGTGAGTGTGCATAAGAAGAATAAGAAGAGTAGAATCATATATAATTTAATTTTTTAAGATTCATCAGTTGAAGAGAAGAAAAGTGAGAAAAAGATACTTCTACAGATTGGTTAGGTTGCACTAGGCAAGAGCAGGTAAGATCGCATAGAAGTGAAAATAAAATGAGATGCCAGTATTTACAAGTGAAATGAATGAAAAATAAGGAGTGAAAGGAGAGATAAAGCAGCATGAGGTTTTTCATTTACAAAAAGTTTCATTCGGCAAGCGGTGATGCCGCTGTAGAGTCGGCCTCACTGAAAACTCGAGATAGGCATTTGTTTAGAATTCAATTCTTAGATGATGGCCGTGTCTGGTTAAATATACAAAGTGTAGTTCTCTGGAGTGAACATCTGAGGTCCGAAAGTGTGTATGTTTGCTTGTTTGGGTGTGTGTTTGTGTGTCTGTGTGGCCGGGTATGATGAAGAGGTCGCAAAGTGGTGGTGGTAGTGGTAGGATTTATGAAGATGATGGTACAGTGTTATAAAGTAAATGAGAAAAAGAGCAAGGTGACGAGCTGTTTGCATGAAGGCTGAGAAGAGAGAGAGAGAGAGAGTGAGAAAAGTTTCCTGAGTAGTTCGTCGAAATGAGAGAGGTGATCAAAGCAGTGGTGGGGTGAAACGGTGTCGTCTGGTTATGTACAGATGATTCTGAGGTGGTTGAGACTCAACTGAACTGCTTCGGTCTCACGTGCTCGTCTCTCGAACTGCGTACACCGAGCCATTTGCAGTGACAGTGCTGTTCATGCCGTTCACAGCTGCCGTTGGGTGTGCGGTCATGAGGAAGGCGTTCTTTGCACTGCCCAGCACTGCTCCACCGACACTGCCCATGCCACTGCTGACGATGCCATTGGCAGGCAGTGCTCCTGACGTGGCAACTCCCCCGTTGCCGGTGAAGGGGACTGATGCACGATAGGCGGCAGTGCCGTTTTGGTTGTTCAACGACTAAAGGGGAACAAAGAATTGAATTAGTTACTTGAGCAATGGTAGGTTGAGGGGATTCGACAAACCAGACAGCTCTCTTCGGTCTCCTTGGCGAGTATGAGTGCGTTGATGCGTTCGCAGATGGTGGAAGCAGAGATGCGCGCCTCAGTGTCCTGGTCCCAGCAGTCCTGGACGGTGTTCGCCACGACGGCCATTGTGGGGTGCTTGAACCAGGTGTCAAGGAGGATGGGGCGCTTCTTCTCCTGACTCACCACCACCTGCATGTCCTCCAGACTGGGGTGGGGGCCCACCTCCTCTTCAAAAGGCAGGCGGTACTCGCCACAGGTGATCTCGCCAAAGCTGGTGCGCGACAACAACTCCCAGAGCACGAGGCCGCACGCGTACATGTCAATTCGCAGGAAGGATTCACGGTTGAAGTTGATTGCACCTGTTGTGACAAAAGAGGAAAAAGAGAAGGGTCAGATTTGTGTTGCTGTGATTGACAGAAGAAAAAGAGAAAAAAGAAAAGAAGAAGAATTGACAAAACAATGGCAAAGGAGGTAGGCAAACACAAAAGCCAAGACAAAGTGAAGAAACAAGGACGTGCCTCCATTGCCTAGTGCAACAAAGCAATGTCTGGTCAGCATCATCTCAATTCGCAGTGTGCGTGTGCCGACGTTTAACAGTTTGACAGAGTGCCGCTCAATGATATGCAATGCTCGCCGACTGTCCAGTCTACGTCAAATGTAGCGTAGAAGAAAATGCTAGTCAAGTGAACTAAATGTCAATGAAAATGCAAATAAAGCAAACACCGCTGACAGAAAATGGTCGCAGTTAGAGAGAGAGAGAGAGAGAGAGAGAGAGAGAGAGAGAG